TATGCGGACGGTATAATCCAGAAGTGGCTGGAGAAGGACAATAGGGAAGAGATGGTGAGGAATGGACGGGAGGACAACAGGGGACAGCAGTGATCCGGTGCTCGGGGGGCGTAGCGATCTAGTCCAGAGGACGTTGCTTGCACATTGCCTATTGTTTGTTTGTTCATTGTCTTGATGCACTGTTCGCACTTTGTCTTGTTTTTTACACTTGTTTTACAATCGAGAGACTTTCTGTTAGTAAGAATTCCATTGTACCAGTACCGGTTACATATGGCAATAAAGTTCAAGTTCAAGTTCAAGGGAAGTCCAGAAAGGGGAATCAGGGCGCAAGGTCCAGGTACTGGGAGATCATCCAAACAAACACAGGGAAAATGGATCCAGTAACATGGAAGGTATAACCATTATGAGCCCTGGACTCAGATGCTCAGGACACCTGGGGAAAAGGCCTTGCCCTCGGGCTTCTCCTGAGCCCGGTGAATAGGCGGGTCTTCAGACATCTGTCTTCCAATACTGAGCCCAGAATAGTGGAGACGCCAGGCTTAAATAGTAAAAACAGTAACAAGACACAGGTGTAGAACCTTAAACTAACGGGAATTCAAAAGTGTAGGAGCACCCTCTACAGGAGGGAAGACGATTGTGACACTTATACAGTATAATATATACACTGCATAATCTCTATATAAAACAACTCATGCTACGTTTCTTTTTTTTTTCCTGCAGGCCATGTTGAAAATAGTGTAGTAGCTTTTTTTTTCTCTCCACCATTTTGATTACACAAAAAACAGCATGCTGAGAAAAGTAAAGTCACATCTATTATACTGTATATTGTGGATGATTGCCTCTTGTGGGTGCTGAGGTGTTGGCATTAGCCTTGGGAAGATAGTTATGCAGGAAAAAAAAGAGAATAAGACAAAATATTTATATTTGAAGTACCTTTTGTACAAGTTTATTGTGAGACCAACTTGAAGAAATCAGTTTCAATTGGCAATTTTGTTTCTAACAGTCCATGTAACTGACAAAAAACCTTTTTTTTCTTTTTTTCCCCATCAAACAAAAGAGATATAACTTACCATTACAGCACCTTTACAATTATACAGTATATAGCTTGTACAGTATTGTGTTTCACAGTATTTTTCAGAAATTTGGCATGTGCCATCTGCTAAGGGTAACCAAAGATTCTGTATGTATGGATCTCTTGAAATGTCAGAAAGAGCTCTAATGTGATCGTTTTTGCTTCACCTGCAAGTATAGAACACTCTGTGTACTGACAGTACACCTAGTAATTTCTATATGTTATGATTATTTATTTCTATGTAGTACTGTACCTGCTTACTTCAAACACTGATTTTGTGAAACAAAAGGACCTTTGTTACAGTATACAGTACAGTACATCATATGCTGTATGCAAAGACACTAGGAAAATGGTTCTTTAGATTTTGAAAATATAATTAACGCATTTCAGCAGAACATAATGCAGTTAACGTCTGTCGGTTTGTGAAATCTAAATATAATTAAATAACTTTGTTCCTCTCAGTATGGACAAAGGGTATGCAACCTCGCGTTGTTTATTTTACAATCAAAATGAAGTACTGATGTCTTTTTCATGTTCTGCCAATGAAGATCATTTATCATTGATTATAATGCTATCGGCTACGTTGTACTTGCCTAGAGCATTATAATTGTGTGAGGACAATACTTTTTAATACAAAAGGGACATTGCTCTCATACTGTTAATAACCTTTTTGACAGTGAAAATGAGAATACTCCATAATACTTTTATTCATTCCTTCCAATTTAGTGTGCAATTATGCTATTTGTTGACCCCTACTTTCTTTTTTGGTAATTTATCTGTTTTTTGTCCAGTGGAAAGCATGCATAACATACTTTCTGATAATTTAGGTTGAAATAGAGATTGATCTGGCTAGGTAAAAGAACTTGAAGGGATGGCTTTGAATACTATTCTAAACCTACAGTATGTACAAGAAATCTGAAACTGATTACAGAATCAGTTTATTACAAATAGTTGAATGCTTGAAATTTAATAAGCCTACATTCCTGTTTTGGCACATAAAGTTGATAAGTAGTTGATTGAAACTGATAAAACATCTCAGCATTCTTAGTCATTTAAGTGTACAATTTTTTCTTTTAGGTAGAAAATACAGAAAAAAGCTTTCATGCCTATGGATTTAGTGATTAAGTTATCATTTTAGGATACCATTGGGTGTTTTAATTGTAGTTTTGTTCTCATCAAACAAACCTTTTCATATAGAAAATTCATTAAATGGTTGATTTATCAAAATTTTTAGTATGTTGCTGTAAAAACTGGACTTACTATTAGTACTGGTAAGCACTGCCCTCTATTAGGCTTTACGTGTAATGCAGGTCAGAGTCATTTCTGTCATGAAAATCAAATACACTTTTTTTTTTTCCAAAATAAGAAAGCTTACAAATAACAAGGTGTCATCCAGCTTTTTTCTTAAAAGAAGAGACAAGGTAGCATCTTCGAAAACATGTCAGGGTTGCTTGTTCTATGTTCAGTCAGCACTGTAAAAAAGGACTTGTTTTCTTTTTGAATACAGTTCAATCCTTGTAGTTATTACTTGTGTCTTCTGGTTTATATTTCAATGTTAAATTTGGAAGAGTCCTTTGAGTTGACCTTTTCAGGACCTTTGCAGATTTTTAAAAATGGATTTCCTCAAAGCCTTCTTTCAACAACAAGAGTTGATAATAATTCCATTTATCAAACCTACTAGTGTAGGACTTTCCACTCTTCTTTGACTGATACCCAAACAGCCATCCAGTTGTAAAACAAAGTTCTCACAATATCCTACTTTCCAGTAGGTCTTATCATTTCATTGTACAATTTTCATTAAAATATCACATATCATATCATTCTATTAATACAACAGATTTGCCTAATGCTAATTAGTGATAATACAATGTACAAAATATCTGTTTTTTCCACTTGCATGTTGTAACGCTTTTCCTTGTTAAAATGACCAAGTGAAATACACATTTAATCAATTTGCCATTTCCCTTTCATGATCTAGAAGTTCCAACTAATATTAATGTGACATTAACATCTTTTTTTGTTTCATCCCTGCTCTTTTCTAGTTGTATTGCCTACAAAGAAAATTTCAATATGGTTTCTGTCTAACATACTGTACTTTCAAGTCTTTCTCCATCTTGTTAATGCAGTAACCAAACCATTTGGGTCACTATATTAAAATATGTATATATTTCCTTGATTTAAGTATGAATATGTTCTGTACATCAAGTAATACATACAGTATTTTAAATGCTGGCATCCATCCTCTGTATATCAATCATAATCACATTTTTTTTTTCTCTTAAACTCTAATTATTGTATTGTATGCTTTCTTTAAATTGTAAGTCTTTGATTTGGACTTTACCTATTAACTGTTTAATAGGTCTTTAATCAAGTGTTAATTGAAACTCAAGGTTTTGAAGAAATAGGGAGTTATGTACCCTGTTCTAGAACCTACAGTACAACTATTACCTAGAGTACTAGGAGGTTATAAAAAGTCATCCACACTCTACATAAGTTTACATTTTATGTTGATATAATTCAGGATTCTCAGAGGCAGTTTTATTTTCATCTCAGTATAACCTATGTCACTTGTTCACTTGTAAATCAAAACATTTAAAATTCATATCGCATGCAGTTGGATTTGAGGTAGAATCCTGCCTTCATTCCACTTAAACAGTGCATGGTTTTGGATTCCACTGACTTAAAGTTGTTGCCCTTGCAGACCAGATTAATTCTATGGATGTGTGTTTTGCAGTGAAGTAGAAATAATTAATGTCAGCTTATGTTTTGAGTCCATGTTGATTTTATGTGCTTAACACAAAATGACATGATACAAATTAAATGACATAGTGTGGAAATGTGTTTCTGGAATTGTGGAATTGAAAAACATATATGCATTTACAGTATATGAAGTACTGAGGCTTGGAGCTTGAATAATATGATGCATAGAATTAGGTTGGGCTATTCAATATATGAATCAGTTTGTCAAGGAGTGGTTCACAAACAAAACATAGAAAATCTGAAGTGAAATAATCCCATAAGATTTGAGATTTTCCTTTCTTTACAATAGTTGGAAAACATCTATGTATGGTCACTGCAGTGCATACTTTATAGAAAGAGCGAATGTGTTTTATGCTTAAATGAAGTAATGTTATCAATTATTATTCTTGATACATACATTCAATCCAAAGATATCTTTTGATGTTAGTAATGTGGATGCCCGTATGTGTGAGCATACGTTGTATACATGTACACGCTGTTTATATATGTGTAAAGAAAATGCATATATAATATCTAGATCTATCTTTAGATAAATCTAGATATGTACATGTATATTAAAATTACCCATAGAATGCTTACGCACCAGTCCATGTGTCTTTATCTGTATTATATTCTGATGTATCAAAATATTCTAAGACTGTTAACAAAAATTGTTTTTCCAAATTAAATTGGAGATCTTGAAAGAATAGGGAATAGCATATCTCCAATCAGTTGGGAAATGCAGCTGGAATGTGGGTGTTAAAAAAATATATTGGTATAGCAGATTAAAAAACGAAGACAGAGATGAAAGTACTGCAACTGTGGAGGCTCATCTAATAACTACTGCCTTTTCACATTGTGATGAAAGGATTGGTGTAGCCTTGAAACAGAATAAAGTTTTATATCAGTTTATGTTTCTATAATAGAAGAGAGCAACCTATACTACAGTTAAATCTGTAGCATTCAAAAATTCCTACATTGACATTTTTACTAATAAATTAAGTCTATTTTATTGATTTACCTTCATTAAATATTTAATATTACAATTTTATGGAATAAACTATGATTAATCATATAATTGTGCCAAATCCCAACATACAGTATATCAGCTGCTATTTTTTCAAGTTCTCATTTATTTTGTCAAGTAGTTAAGAAAGATACCTAACAGAAGTTTTTCTGTGTTTGACAGCTGAGGACACATGTGGTGGTACTCTCAGAGGTTCAAGTGGGATCATTTCAAGCCCCAATTTCCCGAATGAGTATTACAATAGTGCGGACTGTACATGGACCATACTTGCTGATCCCGGAGACACCATCTCCATCATTTTTACAGACTTCCAGATGGAGGAGAAGTATGACTACTTGGAAGTAGAAGGGTCTGAGCCACCAACCATATGGTGAGTTGATATCTAATGCATTATTTAATCTTAATATTATGTATGTGTTTTATAGAACAAAAAAAAAGACTGGTTACTAAATTACATGTTGTGAGTGCAGGCTGAGCCATACTCTACAGAGAGTACTGTGTAAAATCTGGGCTATATCCTTAGCTAACAGTCACTGGGATCTCTCCAAACAGTGGCACACCACTAGTCAAGCAGTAGTGCTCTATTGACTGAGCTCTGCAGGTGTTGTGTGATTTATTTTCTATACATTATATCCTATGTATTACCCTATCCCGGTGATTTGTAAAATTTAGGCAGCAGTTGCTACTGCCTGATAGCTTGCGAACCTAAGATGCATGTTAACATTAATAATGGATACTAGGTTCCATTTGTTTTGGGTTCAGAGAATGTGTGCTGTCCAAGTGAACTTTATTTCCCACAACCCCACTGGCCTTCTTTTGTGTTCCTTCTGACCAAGTCACTAAGATGCTTGTCAGTCATGTTGTCATGACCCCACATCTGATGGTTTTAACAGTGGCGTGATGGTGTAATAGCGTTGTATTCAAATATCATCCTGCGTTCATCATGCACACTTTTTCCATTACTAAAATATTACATCAGGAGGTTTTCCTGATGGTGTCTCCTCTTATGGCCAATTAGGACACGAACACAGCAACTCACTTCAATGGGAACTTACTACTGTAAGAATGTTGATACATCCTTGAAGTCCCTCCCTTTACCAAACTAACCCATACTCCAGCTTAACACCATAACACTCCAGGTCCCAATCACCTTCTTGTCACCTGGTTACATTTGCAACATTACAGCTTCCCTGGTGTCAGTGAGAGCTACTGTAGATCTGTTCATCTTCTGATGACATACAGTAGCTCTTTGGATGAATGCATGCTGTTGCTGGCTTGGTGTCTTGTCTGCATTTATTTTTGCATTCTTATGACACTAGGTAGAGTCTTCAGCTGCCACCTCTTCTCTTAATTTTGATGTTAGTAGCACTGTTACTAACTGGATTATACTGTAGCTAATCTTCCATACTGTATCTGTCATGGAGATGATGGGGAATTGCTGTTTAAAGCTCCCATGTTTTATCCTGGAATGTGACAAACTTAATTTTTTACTTTGACAAATATTGATTTGGAAATGTGATGTCAGATAATAATATTGACTAAGTCTGCTGTATACAGTACCTTATCAAGTTTAAACAGTGGGTAATCAGTTCTTTTATTTCTCTGTATTAGTGCTCTGTCATTAGGGGGAACTCCATAGATATTGGATTTGCAAATTGTTGTGTCTGCAGTTCCATCTCTAATGCACTGTCCTTTTAAGGGAGAAATTTTATGACAGTTTCACAGAAGTTATTTAGCATACAATGCAGGTAAGTGGTCCAAAGACCATTTTTGTGCTGGAAGTTGTATAGGCTAAATACAGTACATTTGTTTATCATGTATTTGATCTTCACATGTCTCTCACAGATGGACGTGTGTCCTTTGTGCATGGTGTCCTTTGGGTCAGCTTTCATTCAGTTGGTTCTGCATGAAATCACTTCAATATATAGCAAATTGAGATCCCACCAGTGGGCAATCAACACATATTTTCTGGCATGTAAAATGCAAATTGTTTGATTTGACCTTTCAGTCTTTAATGAACCATACACAACTTTCCAAAATTCATCTGTCAATAGAAATGAAAAATATACTGCAAAAGCTTCCTTAAAAGTTAATGCTATATCACTAATTAACAAGGTCTATGATACATTCCGCATTGATATCACAACTATTGCTGGATAGACTCTGCGTTAATCAAGTTTGCAGTTGAATATTAATCAATCTTACACTTTTCTTTTCCAATCCATCCCTCTTTGGTTTGGCTGAACAAAACCCCTCACCCAAAGCTCAGCTTGCAGCAAAAGTTAAATAAAACTCAGAAAAAAAATAGATTTCTCAACTCAATTGATTGCGAACAAAAACTTGTTAGTCAATCTCTTAACATTTCATTCCAGGAAACAATTAAGAAACCAACTTGCAGTTGTATGTCTTCATCTGGAAAAAAATACAATTACTATCCAGTATTACATCCTTTCAGACCTGTTTGGCACGCTCCTCAATGATACTTGACACTGTTGTAATCAAGTAATTTAAGCTTGATTTTAGTTTTTAATGTACCTATCTTACACAGTACGTAGTAAGATTACAAAAAAAGGAATATCTCAATATCTTATAAAATCATATTACATTATGTTAGTTGATTATTAATTGTGTATTCAATAAATACCATTGAAAGTGTGTGTTGTGGTGTCTATATTGTTCCTGTATAGCATGAAAACCTTTCTGTAGAAAAGGCACAGCCTTGGGGAATATGTCTGGTTTACTTCATTACATTTTGTTATATACTCTTTCCACTCTTAAGGAACTGGTTTAAATTGAGTCAGTTTTCTTCTTATTAATTTCCCCCTTACCTTGGTTTTTATTTTGATTTTACTTCTTTATCATTATTCCCCTGAAATGTGTTTTTTTAGAGCAGTAAATTGCAAGATGACTGACTCACTGTTGTGCAGTAATCCCTGATCAACAATATAAAAAAAAAATCTCTCCCTGAGTACTGAGAAATATGAATATGATGAGAAAAAATGAAAATAGTGAATAATAAAAAGAGCAAAAGAAAAGAGTTTCCCATTGTTCATAACATAGAAATTTCTCAAATCAATCCATCCATCCATTGATTGATAGGGACAGAGCGGTGGCTCTCTGGCTAAGGTCTGACTGAAAGGTTGTCGGTTCAACTCCTGTGACCAGCAGAGGAATCCTACTCTGCTGGGCCCTTGAGCAAGGCCCTTAACCCCAGCTGCTCCAGGGGCGTAGTATTTATGGCTGACCCTGCGTTCTGACCCCAAGCTTCTCTCTCCCTGTCTGTGTGCCTGTGTGTCTCATGGAGAGCAAGCTGGGGTATGCAAAAAGACAAATTCCTAATGCAAGAAATTGTATGTGGCTAATAAAGTGATCTTATCTTATTTCCTAATCACTGCATCCAATTCAGGGTTGCAAAGGAGCCAGAGCCCGTTCAAGCAAAAAAAGGATGCAAGGCAGGCTATACGCTGCTTTACTTTAATTGCACTCAAAACAGGTATATTCAGATTGGACTGTCAACTTATATACTGAATAAAAAGTGTTATGTTAATGTATCAATTATACTTTTGCAGACCCTGTCATTGGTCATTTAATTAGTAGTTTTTGTTTTTTGTTCCTTCAAAATTTAACTGCTGTCCAAGCCTGCAAGACCCTATCACCCTTCTGGAAAAAAAAAAAAAAGTTTTTGCACTGCCTCCTTTTTTCAGTACAATATTTTTTTTATAAATATTAAATATATATTATCTCAACACAAAAACAGAATCAGAAATCATTTTAAGTGCCTGTGCCCCCCTCAGTGTTGTAAAATAGCAAGTGCTAATTATTATTCATTCCCATAATTAATAGTGTGTATATATATATGTCTATGGGAATTAAGATGAATTTCAGAATTTAATTAGGTACAATGTAATTTCTTTTTGAATTCATTTGAAGCCAGTTCCTGTCATAATGGAATCCCTGCTGATCCCTATTAAATCCAGTTCATATCTGTAATTCATCAAGATGCACTTATCGTAAAGAATATCTTGAAATTGCATTAATCTGTGTTGTTTAAAATTCTTCCTTCCTTGCTGGCTGCTCCAACTATAACAAGTTGACCTTGGACAGAAAGCTTCTCTGAAGGATGCATCTACAGAAACCATTAAATGTTTTTTTTTTTTGTTTCAACTAGACCTGCCAGCAACTGTAAGGTCCGGTTTCTGAGTTTGTTTTACACAGCTGATCACTCCAGATTTTGGCTGGATGCCACAGGCAAATAAATATAATTAGTTACCTTGGCACATAATGTTAAAGAGCAAGGAACATAAAAAAGTAAATAGATTGTTTTCTAACAATGTGCGATTGATGCTTGTAATTGGGACTTAAATTATTTTCTTGTACCCAATTGCATTTCCTTCAGCACTATTGCAGTTACATTGTGACTTGTTTTTGGAACTTGAAAATCTGTTCCAGACTTCTTTTAATCTTCTTGGATGAAAAGCATTGGGTCATGATCATGTATAGTATAGTTCTTTATCTTCCTTAAAATATATAATTCAATTTCTGTTTCCTCACTGTGTTTGACTTCATGCATTCTAAGAGAAAGCAGTGTTAGTTTTATAGATAATGTATATTGTTTTAATTGTTGCATTTTTTAAGAAAGTTTTATTTAAGTTACTCTGGCATATTTAGAAATAGCTGGAAGACATTCTGATAACCAATATAAATAGAATCAAATGACCTCCCACTGTTCTTTTTTTGTGCTTTTCTTGTACTGTTTGTACTGTTTTATACATTGGATATATTACCATCATTTCTAGTTTGCAATTCGAAAAATGACATTTTATGTGTTATATTATGGTTTTGCTTTATGCTGGGAAATTATACAGTTTGTGATCATCTAATTGAGTGACTCCATTAGAAGCTATTAGCATATTATTGCTTTTGGATATGGAATATGATGAGCTTGATAGAAGGTTGCTAAAATTGCTATTTTTAATGAGGCCCTGCTTGAACATAACAGTGATAGAACAATTCCAGAGATATACAATATAAGTTAGGTAATGGGCTGTGAAGTAATATTACCAGAGAAGTAAACAAATATACAGTATACACTATTCAAAAGTGACTTTAAGCAGCAAGTTCAAGTTTAATTAGTTTTCATAGTTCTTTTTTTTCTTGTGTATGTACAGTAATTCCATTACATTTACTGTAGGCAACTAGAAGTATAACTATTAAAAGTCATACAAACTCCATGTTACTGCTAGACTCCAGTCTTTCCTAACTCAGCTGTAGCTTCAATAATTAAACACAAATGTGTATTTTTCTTACATTCTCAGCTTCTGCACACAAGAGAAGTCATTGCAGGCATTACATACTTTCTGCACATTAATC